TCTCCACACTTCCCTTTTATTTCCAAGTCTAATTTACTATGTTGATTTTCTAACACTAAGTCACACTTTCACTAGTTGGAAAGAATCCTGCAAAATAAAAAGCATGATCGGCTTTTGAAAGAGTCGTTGCCAGCTGGTGGCAGCATTCACAAGGGTGGATCACATTTCCTCTGTTACCTTTAGGTTAAACTGGGAAAACAGTCCTGGAACATAGCTACATAATAAGGCAGGTCTGGGAACTCCACGTGAACACCTACTGAGCAGCTAAAGGCTTCCTGCTACAGCTCAATTCAGTCACACACTGCGACTCATCTGTCAAGAGTCAGGGCGACGCATGTTCTGCTCCTTGGCTCCTCCACGTTACTGTGGGCAGAGGAGGGGGGGGGGGCTGATCGTGATCAGATGCAAAGGAGGCGGCTGTGATGCACAGAAAACCAGCCCCCTCATTCCCACTTTCCACGGCACAGTTGTTGCTGTCCCTATTTACATTCACAGCTCTCCCTTGGCACCGGGTCAGTCTGGCTGCAGGTTACTATAGAAGCGCATTTAATTCCTTGCGGTGACACCGAGGCAGGCAAATACTATTCTGGGCTGAGCCAACCAACACAGCGACTTTGAAGCCTATTAGCAGCAGCAGCAGCAGCAGCAGCACCGCACACACGGCATCAATGCGGTCATGCAAGACGTGCGCATATTAAATTACAGAGGACGTTTGTTCAAAAAAGAAAAGAAAAATGTTCCAGGAAGAAAATCCTGGTGTTTACGATGAACTGACGTATCTTAGGCTACAGTGTGTAATTTTCACAGCAGCCCTGGAGGCTGGAGTGGAACAGGTCCTGCCTTAGCACAGCATACAACACACCTTAGGCTATATGGTTGTTAAGATACACGCACGCACACACATGCGCTCACATACATCGCTGAATTTGACGACAATCTCTCTATTGTCCTTGGGCTGCCTGGCATGTTTGCATGCTTTGATCTTAGCGCCTGTGCATTTACTTAGATCAATTTCATTTTACTTCTGTATTTTTGAGAACAAGCAAAAATCGTCCACGGAGGGTTATAACATGAGTTATTTACCCAGGGGACTAAACCCACACGGAATCAAGTATATAAAATACATATTTTAGATTCTAGAGTTTGTCCCAGTCAGTGAACACCATACACACAGCATTTATTAACTTTAAAAAAATCAACAGCTTGCATTGAGGGTCTGATCCAAGTCTTGTTTGGGTCCAAGAGTCTTTCCATTGACCTGCATGAGTTTTGGCTCAGGCAGTGGGTGAACATGTACATATGTATGTGCGGTAATTTTGAGAAGTTATGTATGTATGGCACCAATTTTGAGAAGGTTCACATCAAGAAAACTGTATTCTCAAAACATACGTTTCTTAATACAGATATACCACTTGTTGCACCAAAGCTGTATACTTGTAAATCTTGAAACTATATTTTTATTATTTTCTTCAAAAATACTCAACAGCACTAATCTACCTATGGACCATGGATTTCACAGGTTCCCAGAAGTTTAGGGCTGGAAGGAACCTCGTGACATCATTGGGTTCAGCCCCCCCTTCCCCCACACTGGGCAGGAAAGACTGCTGGGGTCAAATAGCCTCAGCAAGGTGTGCGTCCAGTCTTCTTTTGAAGATCTCCAGGCTAGTATGAACTTTCCAGCTAAAAAATAGTATTGTGGTTGATAATACGCAAACACAGGACACTATCCAAATGGCTATTCAGCAACAAGACGGAAGTAATGCATGCTCTTGATTTCTTTGTTTTCTTTCCATTTTCCAGCGTGGATTCTCTTTGTTATAGTAAGTTCAAGGCAAATGTTGCATGACTGAAATTATTTTTATACACTTAAATGTAATCAATTAAAAATGGAATTTCAAGCCCATATCAACTGTCGGAAGTGCTAAGCAAGAGTGTTGTGAAATGACAGCATTTGTTTATCCAAGAGGGTGCTATAGGAGTCTACAAATATGGTCTTGCAGACTTTTACTTAGCCAAGTAATCTTTCCTCAGGCAAAAAAAAAATGTATGTGGAGGCTCTTTAAGTTCAGGGTCTTTCTGCTTAAAGTAAAAAATCATGTTGTAAATGTTAACCCTGGAATAGGAAAAAAGAGTTACCAACCAATAATGTTTAAGTATGAGAAAAAAACCCAAAACATTACAACCTTTAGAGCAGGTCTCATTAGTGTAGTTTACAATATATTGACAGTAGCTGATTTTTGCAGCAGTGGAGAATTAGTGTACTAGTTGGAAAGTGTCATTGTTTAAAATGGCCTGCCCAAAGAAATAATATGCAGTCCAGTACTGGTGAAGTGCAATAATTATAATGAGTTAGGATCATATACATCTGAAATGGTCAGAAACAGAATAAAGAAAGAAGTTGGCAAGAGAAAACCATACTCAAATGGATGAGATAGCGTATGTATGTGTATGCACACACACATGCACAAGATACAGATTTAAAAGCTTGAATCTCACTGTCTCAGAAAGTGGAAATAAACTTCTTATAGAGGAGTTGCAATTGACTACACAGTGATATGGAAGTTCAAGGACAGCAAAATAAAAATAGTTTATTCTTTGATTGGAACATACAACTGTGTTCTGCATAGTGTGAGAGAATGTCACAGTATGTGAAACAGTATGTGACATTTCACAGTATGTGAAATGTCACGTAACTATTCCCCACCCCTTTTCTCATATCCTGACTACCATCACCGTCATGACCCCAGCAATAAGCTGGGGGCACCAGCCAAGCTAAACACTGGGCTCATCCTTTTCAAGTGTTATTTCTTATTCTTGACTATAGAAAAAGGGACTGACTGTGAGAACAGTAAAAAAAAAATGTTTTCAAAGGATGTGACATTTATCTGATTGAAATCCAACATGTACGTGTATTTAGCTTCACAGAAAATATTTGGAATAGCCAAGGTTTGACCTTTAGGTAATATTTAAATGTAGTTACATATACTTAGGACCTGGTTGAGTTGCTGGCCAAACTCCAATCGAAGTCAAGTTCTGCATGCTGTGGGCTAGCAAAATCAAGCTCTCAAACAACTAAAAGAAGCTGCATGTACTTAGAAAGGGATATTTATATAGGGCTAACATCATGTTCTCTGAATGAGTACATGGAAGAATATTTCATTACACTTCATGTAAATACCCTTCCTAGGCAAAGTTCACCATTCACTTCAAAAAGAGTTTGCCTGAAAAACAAGATATTGATTATATTTTATTTTATTATTTATCACCCAGAGCTATAGCAGGGACTATAACTGATATACAGTCTAAACAATTCAATAAAATAGAATTTGTCACATCCTTATTTCTGGCACACCAACTTGGTGACAACAGCCAAAAGACTAAGGGAACTGTGCTGCATCCTGCCGTAAGGCTCCAAACCAGTATTGGCTGTACTGAAATCTCTGCCACACAAAGAAGGTCACTGCAATCAAAGAGACTTAATTCTGGCTTGAAGATATGGCTTCATCGATTGTTAGCTGAACTAAACCATTTTTTTTAGGCAAGGTCAATGCTATAAACTTTTGGTAGCATTACTTTGCCAGTCAGAGGTGTGATAAAATATGATTTATGATAGACATAACTGTGCAGGTAAAGCCCCTAGCATAGATGCAATATATTGGCAAAATGGTGTCTTAGATGGTATAGCCTATATTGCTTGGAGAAAACAGGGGATGGGCAGACTACAATAAACTATGCTGGCAAAAGTATTTTTGCTAGTAAAAATTGCGTTGACACTAGGATTACTTTATTGATAATACTATACATGTGTGGTGTGCCTAGTGAATATTTGGCCATAATCTAGGCAAAACCATGGGATGAATGGATAGGTCACAGCTGGTATGTCAAAAGAGAAGGAGATAAGAAAGGAAGAGCACATTTTCTCTTCCTTATCAGTGAATTACTTTGAGCTGCTTTGCATACATATTGTTTTTCTTTTATAAAGGTAAATACAAGTTAGGATCACAGGCATAGGTGTGGCACTTAAAAGTTCTTCACCCACAATGAGGCAACTGCTTATTGTGCAGTCCAATACTGACTCATAGTTTACTTGTGTTGCCCTGTGAGTCCATAGGGATCCATTTTTATTGTCTCTTGCCTTACATTTAGATTGCAATAGGGGTAGAGATCTTTTTATAGTGTTTGTACAGAGTCCTGGTCCATGACCGGACTGCTAGATGCTACCACAATGTAAGTAAACAACATCTAATAGTTAAGTATTGGTTGATAGAAAAAAAAAAAAAGATTTGAGGAAGAACTAGTCGGGAATTTTGAAATTGTAACAAAAAGTAGCAAAAATAATGTTCAGGTAATCTTTTTGTGGAAAACTTTTACCATTTTTCCCCAGCTTCTGGCTTGAGGGGAGTGCCAGAAGACATAACATTTACATCTTGTTTACACGAGAAAGTTAAACTGGTACAATGAATGGCATAAACGTAAGAGCATGAGCATGCAACCAAGTCACCACAAGGAGTAGGATTTGCTTCACTCCCCATTTACTGCAGGATGTGTGCGCGCTATGAGAGCTAACCCTGTGGCAGTTTAGCCTTATTTCAGCGAGGGCTAAACTGTGATGGATTAGATTTCACATACTGTAGGGTAATAGTGTGCTCACAGGTAGCTACTATGGGGCAGTGCATATGTGATAAATCCCAGCCCCCCTTTGCTTCATGGTCATTTTTGTGTGCCCACTCCCTAAACCAAAGTAGTATAATGATGTAACTCCATATATGGACATTCTTAAGCATAAGAATGCCTGTTTTGCAATTTAGCTTATGTTGCTTTGGATACAGTTTAAGCTAAGCAATGAAACTCTAGTCTTGCAACAGTCACATGGGACATACCAGTAAAAATATAGTGGTTTAATTCTACTGCTATAATTATAGTGGCATAACTGGTGAAATGTTCCTAGGTTGACAACCTCTATATTGATGATCGTAGTAAAATTTATGAAGTGTAAAGCAAAAAACAAAATAATTAAGTGGAGAAATACTAATTATTGCTTAGTGTGTGTCACAAATCAATCAGTTCTAGGGAATTAGAAGTTAGAGAAGACATTGTCTATTCATTTCTTCTACTTATTTTCTTACCGTGGTATTCAGGAAAGGTGTCAACTTTAATTCCGAATTTCAGTCTCTTTTGTTTTGTCACACCTGTATTGCATGTTAAACTCTGATTCTACTGCTGGAATTAATACATCAAAACTTCCATTATTAACTATGAATCAGTGAATAACATACATAAAAATATGCACGTAGTAAGCCAATGAAGAACTCATAAAAATCCAACTCAAAAAGAGATTTTCCTGAGATCCCCCAAACAAGAAATATTTCACAACTTTCTGGAAAAAATGTTTTAAACTTTGAATGAATTTGATAGAGAAATATTTTTACAGGCCCAGGTTATTAACTTTTTATTTCTGTTGGCAAGGAGTTACTCACCTGAGTGATTCTCATTGAGAAATGCCTTACCAAACTGAGTAAAAAATTCACACACTGGCCCACAGTGCTTGAATCTGGAGCACCCACTATTCCTAATGTTTCCTCCTTAAGGAATGATATATAATAAATACATTTTAAAAGGTCCCTTTAAGTAGGTGCCCCCGCCCCTTAGCAGAGGGTTAGACTAGATGACTTCTGGAGCGCTCTTCCAGCCCTATTTCTCTATGATCTCTTTGACTTCTCTTCGAAAATAACTTTAACTTCCCTAGTATGACAGAGCTCAAGTAATTTTAAAAGGATGAGGGTTATTTTTATTTTCCGGAGTGGGTAACTGAGGCGCATCAATGTTACAGGTGAGCGTCTTGCCTAAGGCTATATGGTGAGGCAGTGGCAGAGACTTTCAAGCTTCCATTAAAGTCAGTACCTCAGATCTTCAGCAATTACTTTCCCT